ACCCATCCCCTGTCCGTACATAACAAAAACCCATCAGCTGATTACTACCAACCCCACCCCTCTTCTCTCATCCCCATGACTAATTTGCGTTTTGTGATAGCTTAATTACCAGCATGTTAATTTGTACCCCTCCCTATATAAATGTAACGGCCCGAAGAGAATTTATCGAAAGATACGTATGCTCGCCAAATATTCTTCTGAATTATCGGATGGGAATTTTCGCAACTTTGAAATAGTGTTTTGTTTACGTTTTCCATGAAATACATTTGAATTGATAAAGGCAGTTAAAATCAATGATAAAAACGCATACTACTAAAGTAGCCACTTTTTACAGTACATACTTTTTATAAGCCGTAAGGAAGAAACCCGTTAAAAAGTCGGCATCCTGACTCGACTTAAACATATGAATATTAGGCTTCACGATCGCCATTGGTACAAACATACGTAATTACTACGTTTGAATCGAAAACGCATTTCAGAATTACGATTGAGATAGGGAATCTATGTTATGCGGAAAGAGCAATACAGTAAGTCTGCAGTTATCTGTCTTAAGGAGACTTAACTCAATATTGATAAGGGGTCGTAAAATATTATACCGCCTGCTTTTTGCTGTTTTCGGACGGACCGAAAATTCTAATCCAGCAGCAGTGTTGATGGAGTAGCTGTTTTTTGTAAACCAGCGAAAGTGCACATATCAGAACTTCTTACTTTCTTCGGCTGGTAAATTAGTCGCCATTGTCGTAGTCTGAAAGTCTCAATTTTTTAGTAATTATAAAGGCAGTATTTATGTCAGTATTAGCATTCCGCCACTACATGTCAAGGTGCTTTAACCCAGTTCTTTGATTTCATTTTCATCAAACTTGCTGTACTGTCTTGCGAGCATGTTATGGTTTTGCGTGGTGAATTCAACATCATGAACCTACATCCTCTTATTTTGTTAGGTTATGTCGAATAACTTTTTTCCCCAATCCTGATGACGCCTCTCTTCATCACATATTGACCAACTTTCCCACGTATTTGGTGTCAAAAATAGAGTTTCACTGTCAAGTTAGGATAATTTGTGTTATTGGGCCTTCGGACCATCTATTCCAAATCTAAGAAAGGACTGCTAGCAAAATCCGGGAGGAAACTAAAGGTTCGCGACACGTCCACACATAATATTTATTTGTTTCAGACCGTCATATCTGAAAAAGTTTCTGCCCATCTTGAACACTGGATCATCGAGTCGTCCTCCAGCCACCCTAAAACATTTTTAAAAGAAGTGGTTGCTACCTGCTGTCTTCTTGAGATTGTGTATGTGAGACCTGAGAGAATTGCTTCACCACATCTAAAAAACTGTGATAGGCAGAAGGGAACTGTTCTACAA